CTCCTCCTCCTCCTCCTCCTCCTCCTCCTACTCCTACTCCTACTCCTCCTCGTCCTCCTACTCCTCCTCGTCCTTTTCCTCCTCCTCATCCGTCTCCTCCTCCTCCTCCTCCTCCTCATCCGCCTCCTCCTCCTTCTCCTCCTTCTTTTCCTTCTCCTCCTCCTCCTCCGCCTCCTTCTCCTCCTCCTCCTTCCGCCCCCTCCTCCGCCTCCGCCTCCGCCTCCGCCTCCACCGCCCCCTCCTCCTTCTCCTCCTCCTGGCGCACACTCCAAGTCCCCAAGTCCGCACATGACGCGGGGGGACGGCGCGCGCGTGAAACTACCCTGCACCCTGCCCCTTGCCAAGCTCGTCTGGCCAGGTCTTCAGACCTGGGGGGAGGCGGCCATCCATGAGTTTGGACAGCACCTTCTTGCCCCAGTCTGTTTGGCGGTGGCAGGTGCCTTGCAACCCTGCGCTGACCTTCGCTCTGCTGCAAGCCCCACACTTGCGACACCACCCGAGTTCACGAGTACAAGACACATCGTGGCTCTGATGGATCTGGTGCGGCCGACCTGAGCATTGCGAGGCAAGCCACTCCAGCGTCCCACACTCCTTGGTAGGGCGCCCGCGGCAGACGAAACACAATGTATACCCCCCTTTTCGATCACGCTGTGTGTGGTCTCCTGCAGTGCTTGCTCAACGTTCGAGTGACGCTGGGCCCGGGACGCTCGACTGCGGGCCACACGATCAGCTCTAGAGGTGGCCGCGTATAGTGATGGGGTCTGGATAGCCACTTGCAGAGCGACTTCTGTCAGGCTTCTCCTCATCACTATTTTCCTCCTCATGCTCCTTCTTCTCTTGCTCCTGCGCCCTCGCCTGCGGCTGCTCCTGATATTGCTCATCCTCCTCCGCCTCCGCCTCCTCCTCCTCCACTTCCTCCTTCTCCTCCTCGTATTAATCCTCCTCCTTCTCCTCCGCCTCCTCCTCCTCCTACTCCTCCATTCCGTTTTCTTATACATAACTTCTCCCGTCGCACCCCGAGGCCAGTTGTTAGGGCGGGCCGAGCGTTTCGCCTGAGACTTCCTCACATCCACGACTCTGAACCTTAAAAATTGGCAACGGCTTCCCAGATGGAGGGCGGGTCTTATTCAAAATGTGGCTCTCGCCTTAGCGCCGCGCGCATTCGTTTTAGAAGATTGCAAGATCAAGGATTGAGGGCGAGTGGTTTTCAAAATCTGGCTCTCGCCTTGGCGCCGCGCACAGTCGTTTAAACAAATGTGCAAGAGATTCACGGATTGAGGGCGAATCGCTTTCAACCTGTTGCTCTCGCCTTAGCACCGCGCAATCAAATTCGTTCAACAAATGTGCAAGAGCTTCACGGATTGAGGGTGGTTCCTTTTCAAAATGTGGCTCTCGCCTGAGCGCCGCGCACATTTATGTTTCAAACACTTGCAAGACCTTCACGGATTGAGGGCGATGTCTTTTAAGCATGTGGCTCTTCCCTGAGCGCCGCGCACATTCCTTCATGAACTGCGCAAGCGTTTCACGGATGATCAGCGTGCCAGAAATGGTGTTGGACGGAATCGAGATTATGTGGGTGCATGAGTTACGTTGGTCCTTCGTGTTGAAGTCCCAGGAATGACGCTCTGGCGCGATTTAAGATCGTCAAGACGCAGCAATCAGCTTGATCCACGCGGTTGGAATCCCGAGAAAAATGTGTACGAATGTCTCGAACCCCTCAAAGTTTTGTCTTCCACCAAGGCAGTTCCCTCAATGGAAATGAGCCGTTATAGGGGCCTGTGAAGAGGGAGCTTGGATGGAGGGATTATTCCCAGACCGTCGATGGCTCTTGGGTTTCACTGGTCCTCCTCCTCCTCCTCCTCCTCCTCCTCCCCCATTCCTTTCCCTTATGAATAACTCCTTCCTGCGCATCCCAAGGCCGGGCGGGAGGGCGTGCGGGGCGTTTCTCCTGAGACTCCTTTACCGTACCACGTGCGAGCCTGAAGCTTCGAAACTGGCAACAGCTCGGGTGTTCAAAATGTGGCGCTCGCCTGAGCGCTGCGCACATTCGTGCAAACATGCAAGTGCTTCACGGACTGAGGGTAGGTAGTTTTCAAATTGTGGCTCTCGCCTTGGCAAAAGAACCCAACATCGAATCGACGAGTCGGATCGGCGATCGACATGGATCAGATCGGCGGAAATCAGCAGCCGAGTGGAGAAAAGTCGAATCGGCGGAAATCGGCAGGCTAGTAGGCCTCCATTGAGAACTCGGCACCCAAATCGGAATCCGAAATCGAATCGAATCGGAATTGGAAGCCATCGACATCGAATCGAATCGAATCGGAGGAATCGGAACGAGCCCTGCCTTAGCGCCGATCACATTCGTTCTATGACATGCAACGAGCTTCACGGATTGAGGGCGGTTCGTTTTCAAATTGCGGCTCTCGCCTTAGCGCCGCGCACATTCGTTTGTCAAACGATGTTAAGAGCTTCACGGGTTGAGGACGGGTCGTTTTCAAAATGTGGCTCTCGCCGTAGCGCCGCGACCATTCCTTTTGAACGTTCAAGAGTTCCGTGGACGCTCATGGATAACCATCCAGGAAAAGTATGGTCGAACGGTTCAGGATTTTCAGGGCGCAACCGTTACGTTGATTCGCGGTGCTGAAGTCCCAGGGAAGGCGATCTGGCACGATTCCGAATCGTCAAGACGCTGCAGTCATGTTGACTCGTGGCGTTGTAGTCCTAGGAATGATGTGTTGGCACGCTTCTGGATTTTCACGCGGCTGTTTCCCAACAGGGCACGCCCCTCAGTGGAAGTGAATCCTTGTACGGGGCCTATGAAGAAGGAGTTTGGAGAGAGGGTGTATCCGAACATCATCGTTGATGAGTCTTGGGTTTACAACGGACCTCCTCCTCCTGCTCCCCTGCTTTACCTGCTTCGCCTGCTCCTTCGCCTCCTCCTTCGCCTCCTGCGGCGGGCATCCTCCTCCTCCTCCTCCTCCTCCTCCTCCTCCTCCTCCTCCTCCTCCTCCTCCTCCTCCGTCTCCTCCGTCTCCTCCTCCTCCTCCTCCTCCTCCTCCTCCTCCTCCTCCTCCTCCTCCTCCTCCTCCGTCTCCTCCTCCGCCCCCTGCTCCTCCTGCTTCCCCTGCGTTGCTGCTCCTTCGCCTGCTGCGGCGGGCACCCTTGGAGGAGGAGGAGGAGGAGGAGGAGAGGGAGGAGGAGGAGGAGGAGGAGGAGGAGGAGGAGGAAAAGGAGGAGGAAGAGGAGGAGGAGGAGGAGGAAAAGGAGGAGGAAGAGGAGGCCCCCCCGAGCGCAGGCGAGAGCCTCTTCGGCGGGCCTCGGGGGCTGCCGAGGTGTCCCTGGCCCAATGTGCCCCCAGCTTTTTGCGCCACGTGGCTGCCCTTGGGGCCCTTCTGGGCCTCATGTTTTTTGTTTGGCCCTTCTGGGCCTCGTGAGGATTGCTCTGGCGTCGCCACTGGGGGCTCCCCGGAGAAGCTGGGGCCACCCTGGGCCAGGAGCACCTCTGGCAACATCCAAGAGGTTCCTGTCGCGACCTTGTGCGCTGGTACTGATACCGCGTGGGTCTTTCAACCCTCGAGCGATGCATGGCTTTCTGGCCGCCGAGGTCGTTCAACACATGCAGAGTTCCGGCCGACAGCGGCCTTCAGCCTTACCGCTGGCGCTGCCGGCGCCGCCACGTCAGCACGACACGGGCCTACAGTGCATCTCCACAGCCAGGGGATCTGATGTCCCAGGGCCCTAGGAGGCAGTAGATATGCGTGACCTCGGGGCCTGGGAGGGTGGGGCAAGGAGATCCATGTCCACCGTCCCCTGGAGCCCACATCAGTTCCCCAAGCGGTGGATGGCCATGCAGGCAGATATGCGTGCAGCACATCCGTTTGAATGTGCGTATGCCAAGCGAAAAAAAAACTGACTTGGACCAGAGTCCCACAGAACGAGCCTCCCCGACCTTGACCTCGGAGGTCTTGAATGCGTTGTCGTCGTCTTCGCCGCCACGGATGCACCGGTCCGCCCTACAATCCTGGCCGAACGCACCCCAGGGACAGGACCTGAGATCGACCCTGGTCGGCATCCCAAAGATGTGGCTCTGGACACGGGGCCCAGGGGCAAAGGGCGGCCTGGCAGCCCGTTCGACATCTTCGAGCCACCCACTTGAGGCCCAAGGCCCAGACCTCCATCGGGGATGGACAGACCCCCCTTTAGTAAAACGTGGTTTAGTGTAAACGACCTGAGGCCTAAACCTGGAGGGCGCAAACCTGGAAAATAACGGCCACGGCGCCCTCTCGAGAACCGAAAACGGACAATTCACTAATCGACGTGTCACTGTTGGGGGTTCTGTCCAGCCCCGACTCCAGGCGTCGCGAACAACTCACGACCTGGGCTCTCTCGCTGCCTGCAGCACGCTTTCCCAGGACCGCTGCCCAGGCCCCGTGGTCATTAGTGAAGGGGCCCTTGGCCACACAAATAAATACACACAAATAACTGGATTCCCCATATTTTCCCATATTTTCTGGGTTTTTGTCTTCCCCCCCACTTCCCATATTTTCTCATATTTTCCTGGGAGTCGACGATTAATTGTGTCTGTGTGTTTCTTCCCCTCCTGGATTAGGAGGAGGGGCAGGAGAAGCGAGCCCAGAGCCTCGAGCTCCGTCGCCTCCGGCAAGATGGGCGGGGCTGTTCTCGGGGCACTGGGGGCTGGAATGAGAAATGGGGCGCTGGGGGCACCCAGGGCCTGGGGGGGCACTGGGGGCACGGGGGGCCGCTCTCGGCAAAAGTGGGGAAGGAGAACGAGGGCGAGGAGGAAGCGGAAAGCCGAGGGTGAGGAGGAGGAAAAAGGAGGAGGCAGGAGGACAAGGAGGGTAAGGGAGGGAGAGAGAGAGAGGGAGAGAGAGGGAGAGAGAGATAGAGAGAAAGAAAGAGAGAGAGAGAGAGAGAGAGAGACCGTGGCCTGAATGTCTCACGAATTCCATATCCGCCCATCTTTCTACACCCAGGGGCACCCGGCTGGGTGCGGTGAGGAGAGCCTCGGCCACTCCTGGGCTGCGGATTGTTGATGCGCATGTGCTGATCATCCTCATCATCGTCCTCGGTAAATCATCATCATCCTCTTCATCCTCTTCGTGATCGTCCATAACGTTCTCGTCATCATGAAAAGTATCGTTCGCTCTCTCCTTCTCATCCTCGCCTCCTCCATTTGGTCATCCACGTACTGCTACTGCGCATGTTCCTCCTCCCTCTCCTACTCCTTCACCATCACCATCGTCAGCATCATCATCATCATCAGCAGCAGCAGCAGCATCGCCAGCATCATTACCTGCAGCATCAACATCAGCATCAACATCAACATCAGCATCAGCATCACCATCTTCGTCTTATTCATCATCCCCCCATGCCCCTCATCTTCCTCCTACCCGCACTCCTGCTGCTCCTTCTCATCCTTATCCTCTCCTTCCTACTCCCATTCTTCATCCGCCTCCATCAATATGCTCCGCGAGGGTCGGGAAGCGAGAGGCAACGAAGGGGATGTGACGCGAGGGAAGCTGCGGGGCCCGCCAGTCGCTGCACCTCTCTCGCATACCCTCTCCCCCCCTCATAATCCCCTCCAGCGTGCTCCCCGCCCCACCCCACTCCCAGCCAACCAGCTACGACGTTTCGCAAGTGCCCTCCCTCACCCACTCGCCTCCACCCCACCCCTCGTCTACACCCTGCGAAATGCTTAAGAAATCATGGGTTAAGAAATTCATAGTCTCAGAACTTGCGTAAAAACCCAACATTTCTATTGAAATCTTAAGATTTACATTGAAACATTAAGAATAATCGAGCCTCTGGCCGAAAACTTAGGTTTTCTTAAGCATCGCCCAAGGTGTACCCCCCGGGCTGTGCAAGCTTTGCGAGGCAGCGGTTGGCACGATCCCCCGCAGGTTTTTTGTGCGAAGGCGACGCCCATGCCATGCGGCGGCGGACCGCTGCCTCCCCGTTCCCGGGGGCAGCAGCCGCCGAGCGATTCGAGCGCCGGGGTGTAGATCCCCAGCACAGTTGGGTCGGGACCGGGTGCCAGCAGTTCGAGATCCATCGGTGGAGTTGGCCCAGCTCGGGGCGACTCGAGGGCATGATTTGCACCGACGCCTCCACATTCGCTGGGCCCCCCCCCTCGGCATCGGCTGGGTCGGGTGGGCAATCTTGCAGTGCATTCGCGGGGGCGTGTGCGACCTATGCCCCTGGCCAGCGTGCCCCAGGCAGCTCAGCCGCGACGGCGAGGATCTCGCGATCTTCGTGCGTTCGCTGGGCCTCTTGGTCCACTCCGCTGGGACCGTGGCTGCCCTCGGGAGCGAGCCAGTTTGGGGCTCGTTTGCGCTCGGCGACTTCACGGTCACTAAGACCCTCGCCCACGCCACGCATGCCGACGTCGAGGCGGGGAGGACTGTCGACCTCCTGGGAGCGGGCCGGCAATGCAGCCGCCGAAGCCTGCCACGGCATGCCAGTGGGGGTCCATGAGCCCAAGCAGAAACACTGCGACATCGGCCAGGAGGCTGCTTGTTGGTCGGGAGAGCTCCACGCCGTCCTGGGCGACAGAGGCACCAAGCGCTACGATGGCTTAGAGGCCTGGCTGCAGGAGCAGCAGGAGGGCAGCGCCGAGATCGAGCTGGTCATCGGCGGCGGCCCCGCCGAAGACTGCGCTGGGCCAGCGGCGGTCGACCGCAGGGTCCTCGGAGGAGTCGCTGGCTCAGGAGCGGAGGCCACCGCCCCGGGCCGACCACCCCAGGCCCTGGCAGCGTGCCTGAGGTGCGGCGCGCACGCCACGAGGGGCGCGCGGAACTTGGCCAGCGCATGCCGTGCACCGACTGCCGCAGCGGGAGGAGGAGGAGGAGGAGGAGGAGGAGGAGGAGGAGGAGGAATAGGAGGAGGAGGAGGAGGAGGAGGAGGAGGAGGAGGAGGAGCAGTCAGGGCACGGCCGCCAAGGCCACAGGCAACTGCTGCGGCAGCTCATGGGAGCCTCCCATGCCGTTTTGTTGGCTATCTTGCGAGTCGGTGCCAATCGACGCTCATCGACGCCGAATTGGCCCCAATCGGCGCTAAGCTAGCCGACTCCAAATCGGCGCTGCAGCGTATCGATTACCAAAGGCTAACTAATCGACGACAATGCACTGTGAAGACCGAAGCGCGAGGGTATACGAGCCTACGATGCTTTGCAATCGAGGCGATGGAACAGGCGGAAGAGAAGAGGGCGGCCGTGCAGGAGGAGGCGGAGAGGGCCCAGCCGCCGAGAATCGGCGAGTGAGCGGTACACGGACGGCCTCAGGGACGTTGTGCAACTGGAAGTTGAGCAGCCATCAGCTTACAGGCCATGCCAGACCTGTAACAGGGGATGCGTCGACCCCTATCCCAGGCTCCGTGAGGTTTTCGAGAGGATCAACAATTTGGGGCCCAACCCTGGGATATACGAGGGGGGGCGTCCATCCTCGACAGGGGTGCGTCCGAATAGCCCCCTCGGGATGTATC